ACTACTACTACTACTACTACTACTACTACTACTACTACTACTACTACTACTACAAAGAAGAAGAAAAAGAAGAAGTGTAGGAGGAGGAAGAGGAAGAGGAAGAGGAGGAGGAGGAGACAGAGACACACACACACAGAGCGCAGGTATAGCGCAAAAAATTGTTTATTCTATTTTTAAAAAGGAAGTAAGTTGATAATAATTAAGGGGGCCATTCATTGTTGTGAAAGGCAGAAACACAAAGAAGGATAGCGAAGAAATACAACATATAAAAGTCAGACTACCAATATCTCGAATTCCTACTTCAGATCACATCCTGTTTTGCAATTTCCAATAACGCACAGGCAGTGACAAAGGATCACAATGGAACCCTTAAGGACTGCCTTAAAAAGCCTTGGACTGATATGGGCAGAGCTTGAGAGGAAGACCCGGAACAGAGACTCGTGGGGAAGTTTTTGTTGGTGACTTCTGTAGGGCTTTTCAGTTCACGCGATCCTACTGATAAAATTGTGCTCCACTTGAGAGTAGGGTCGATGCGCAAAGGGGCGCCCATGATTGTGGAGCAAGACTTCATTATCATCATCATTGTCTTTCTCACCCTGCACCAGGGTATAGGCCACGGACAAACATTTTCCACCTTTCTGTATCCTGGGCTAGCCTCTTGATGTTTTTCCTTGTTTTCCCACTTTTCTGTCTTGTTCCACGCATTCTTCCCCTTGATCTTTTACCCTGTGGATTCCAATTCAACACTTTCTTTGTTGTGCAGCTGCCTGGCTTCCTGAGAGCATGTCCAATCCATCGCCGCCGCCTTCATCCTACCTCATCTCTGACTGGGATCTGTCTTGTTTTCCTGTACACTTCCTCGTTGGTGACCTTGTCTGTCCATCTGATCCTCAGTAACTTTCTTGGACTCTTGTTCAAGAAGACCTGGATCCTTTTTATGCAAGTCTGTGATGCGTTCCATGTCTCACATCCATGCAACTGGACTGACTTCACATTTGAATTGAGAACCCTCAGCTGTTTTCGAAGTGATCTCTGGTGTTCCAAATCCTATTCAAATATAGGAAAGCAACCTGTGCCTTTCAAATACGGGACAAAGCTTACTGTACAGTTTATATAGTACAATGGCAGTGGCAATGACAATGACAATCTTTATTCATCATCTCGCAGTGGGAAATTTGTCTTGGTCGTTTACAATGGCAGTGGGTGTTACAAAGGTTAGATACACTTACACATACGCACAACAAGACAGGGCATTAATAAATAGGCCAACATGTCGCACGTGCTGAAACAACCCGCTCCGTAAAACATTCTCTCTCTCTCTCTCTCTCTCTCTCTCTCTCTCTCTCTCTTTCTCTCTCTCTCTCGTTGTTCAGAAGGTATCAGTCGGGACTCCTAAGTGTGAGTGGCGTTCTTTTTATGTAGGTGTTTTAAAGACCCGGTGGACACAATATAGATCATATTATTCTTTTATGTTGCGGGTTTTGACCTCGTCTATCAAGGCCAACGCGGGCTGCAACTGAAAGGGATACAACATCCCTGCAGGTATAGCGTACTTCACCTTGGTTGGGTTGGAAAGAGGTTTCAAAGCTCTCCACCAACTCGACTTGGTCCTATCGGAGATGGGTGCAAATTGCGAAACCACACCTCTTGGAAGGATAATTTTCCAGTATTTACTGGGGCGCTGAACTCATTCCGTACTCTAGTATTAATATTATATCTCCTTCTCTGCCTCTTTCTTCGATGTCTGTCTGTCGCAGATCTGGCACGTGACGGTGATTATTATCATGTACCATGACGAGGTGCTGGGTAATGCTACAATCGGAAACAAGAATAAATTGACTGAAACTTGTAAGAGTACTCAATGAACCATTCTTGTTATCATTATCACATTCTTGACACTAGCTGTGTAAACGCTTTCGGCCTAATATTGCTGGCGATCTTTGACCCACAACATAGCCAGACAATGGCCATCACGTGGAGTGGGTGGGCTTTTCATGATAATGAACATACATCCTATTGTTTTGAGGTGATAATTTTCCAACCCCACCCCACCTTCTCGTTTTTAGC